CCTGCAGGGAGCCGTGAGTGATAGTCACGGCTCTCTGCAGGTACAGGATCCAGAAGTGAGCGAGCGACGGTATGTGTTCGCTGACTTCCCGATCTTTTGAGCCGACCTGTGACAGTTTCATTGTCACAGGTCGGCTAGAACTATGAGGATGAGTGATTTTCACTCGCCTCATAGTTCTTCTTTAAGGTCAGGGCTTTGTGCAGGCCACTCGACTTCCTCCTCACAAAACATGTCAAACCATTTCTTTATGGACCTGACTGGACCGGATTTGTACGTAGGGAAATGGCCATCCTGGAACAGAAAAGGGCCTACCCTGAACTGTTGGAACAAGGTTGGAAGTGCACGCTTGACTAAAATGTATTTGTATGTGGTAGCATGCCATTAACCATACCTTTCACTGGAAATACCTAAAATCAACAATATGGAGGGGAGGCCACATAGTTTTGTCTATATAGTCTATATACTAGCAAATGTGTACCCCCTTCATGTGTGGTGTAATTTTTGGAATTTGGCCAAACAGGTAAATGGTTTCTTAATTTTGTTTTTGTGAAGTGTCATATAAAATATGTATTTTCTATTATCTGTATGTATGCAGTAAATGTATTATGCAAAAAATGTTTCAGTTTGATGAGATGATTATTTTAGCAGGAGTTGGCAGAGTAGGAAATTGAGCAGGAAATCCTTGACACATGTAAAATGGAATATCATTATAGGCAGCATGTGAGGAATAGCAGAGCACTGTCCAGGAACTGCAGTTCATCAGCATCCTACTACAGCTCACTGTTATAGTGTTAACAAGACACTTCCACCTTGCCCATGCGTGGCAAAGCGACAGGAATCCCTCAACCCCCTTATCCTCACCATACCAGTGATCCTTTCTCCTCTGCGGCTCGCCCTAAGTTGCTGATTTCAGCGTTGGCTGTGGAAGAAGGAACAGTGAGGGAGCGCAGGTAAGGTCAATGTAATGGGGACAGGGGATGACCTTTGCAGAGACACTGTCACTTTGCTCTGCATCGGCATAGGTATCTTCTTTAGTTTTACTCCTAGACAAAACAAGCACTTAACCCTTGTAGTGTGGGGGTAGCCCCAACTGCAAGGGTTCATTTTAAAAAAATCTTTGGAGTTCTATATAACACCTATTTTCACTTACGTCTAGAATTATTATTATTATAAATAAATAACTTCTTTAGAATGTTTATGCAAGTGGCAATAAGTATCCAAACATTAATATTGCTCAGGTGGTAATATTATATAGTACTACTAAGCGCCACTTGTCCAGCTTAGCCCTCGTTCACACCTGACCGTTTTGTAGCGTGTTCTACGCTCGACGAACGCTCTACAAAACGGTCAAAATATACATTGCATTGTAGTCAATGGTCTCGTTCCCACCTTGCCGTATTTCCGCCCGTCCCTAACGCCCTACGGCCCACGCCTGAAAAGGTCCAGGTACTACTTTGGGCCGTTTTGTAGGGCTTATTCCATTGGGATACAGCCAAGTAGCCTTCGGGGTCGCGCAACTTTTTTACCGCGAATTGCGGCAGACAGACGCGCATATGCAATACGCCTAGGTGTGAACGAGGGCTTAGTCTTCGGCCTAAATTGAGTAGCAGAATATTGCTGCCAAGCTCATGTGTTTTCAGAAGCTTAAAACAGAAAGAAACTATTTGTAAACATTCTTCTTATATGGTGTTTCCACATCACAGAGAACATTCTAGGAAGTCCTTCAAATGCCAGTGCCAATTCTTCTGATGGGAATATACACACAAAAAAACATATTTGGCCTTTCTAAATAAACCTAGCTCCAGCAAGACTCCTTTTAGGCTATGAATTAGTTTCAAAAGAGAAAATCTATTTTTCTTTATCCTTTTGTTTGCCTTTTCTAAGAATGAAATATAAGAGAACTGCACGTAAGCGTCACACTTGTTGGAACAGGGTCCCCTGATAGAGTGTCATTATATTGTTTTATATAGCAAACCTTCAGTAAAATTGGGTGTTTTCTTGAAGTATAGCTCCACTCCTGTGTTTGTGAGAAAAGGGAAGTAGTATTTTCTCTCCACTCTTTCTTTTTACAGCTACATGCCATACACATCAAGTAACACACCTCCTCCTACTGTCTGTATTACCCTCCTTCTCGTGTGGAGCAATGTTTTAATTGTTGTACACACATGATAAAAATCAGATTTTTTTGGCTAGAAAACAGCCTTCAAACGCCTCAACAATAATAGATTTTCCTGAAAGCAGAGGCCCTCTAGAGTAACAAAATGCAAGCTGCAATTTTCTATATTGCACGATATTTGTGCAAATGTTTATCAAACCAATATTTTTAGAATAAAACACATTAAAATGAATTTTAGTGCACAGAAACAGAAAATACTACCCATTTCTTGTTAAACTATAAAATATGGGGTCATGTCAGGTAAATAGATACCAAACATGTCAAGTCTTAAAATTATGTGCACCCGCGCAAAAAACGACAGTACCCAAAATTGCCCATAGGCGATGTTTCAAAAGCTTTTTCTACCATTTATCAATATAGTATTAACAGTGACTGATGGTCCTAGAATTATTGCTCTCACTCCATTGTTCGCGGTGATATGTAACAAGCAATCGTTGTGTGACAGCTTCAGTGTCACAGGTTTGCTTGTTTTAAGGTGATGAGTGCATTTCACTCACCCCATAATTCTCCTTTAATTGTTACAACATAGGGGGCTAAGAAGTTCCCTATGTGATAACACAGAGAAAGTCCTCTGTATGGAGTTATCAGGGGTCGCAAAACAATGACCGAGCAGCTGCATACAAACCTTACATCACCAAGTTTAATGCAAAGTGTCAGATACAGTCGTGTAAAGCACGCCGCCACTGGACTCTAGAGAAGTGGAGACGTGTTCTCTGAAGAGACGAATCACGCTTGCCTACTATTTCTCTACCTGACCAGTAGAGTTTTCCAGTTAACTTTACATGTTTTGAAAATTCAGGCAGATAGAACCTTGGGAGCATACTGCGTACAGGAAACGTATGACATCGAGGTGAATTATCACACCACCTTCACCCCTCTCCTCAAGGCTGAAAATGGAAGTGTTTCTTACCTTTCAAACAATGGTAAAAACGTATGACATATATTCTGGGTCACATAAGTTGAAGGAAATTGAAGAGGGCTAATGTTTAGAATGCAGAAAGAAAACACATCCTACATATGTATATACCTAAACTACAGCCAACATTTTTTTTTTCACAGTAGGGAATGATTAAAGCTACATTCTTATTGCTGGCTGTGTCCTACGTAGGGAGGATTTCCCTCATCCACAGAGCTGAAGTAAAGAGAAATATTTTCAATTTGAAAACAAATGACAATAAAGACTCTTTTTATTCAGTTGGCGATGGCTTGGATCGGTGTCAGGTTTCTGTTGTCTGCATCCCCCTTAGGGTTTATTCACACAGGAATGCAGGGATGTATACCACACAGATCAGTGTAATTCTGGAGCAGGTACAACCATGTGTTTACGGTAAGCTGCAGACATTTGAAGCCTGTACAAATCACTGACAGGCTATCACTGGCCACAGCTGTTCGCATGTAAATGTTCTAGGAAGGGACAGATCAGTGTCCAGATTCCAGAACCACTCATCTGTTCTTAAGTGCAGGTAATTCCTCCTTGAACGGAAACACAGGGCCATGCTTACACAGGAAGACTTTCACACACTTTGTCCCTGTGATAAAGCTCAGCAATACAAAAAGAGGACCAAGACAGCAATAATAACCTGACAGAGTTTCTGAGCATTACCTACTCAATCCGAAATGTTTTACTTTACAGCAAGAAGGAAGTATGGTACATCTCAAATCTATTAAAACTATAAACCATGAGCAAAGATGAAGAAGGGCAATACTGTTTGAAAGGGAACTGCAATTGTAGATATGTAACAATGGAAAAAAACATGTTTACCTGCCTCGCTACGTTATGCTCCTAGTCTTTGACAACTATCGTGCCCTAATGCACGATAGGCTGGGTATCTAGATATCATAGTTAAAGTGCCACTCTTAGGTCACTTGTTCCCCCTCCCCAGTGCTCCCCACTCTGCCTTCCCAGTGCTACCCCCCTTGTTTTTTTCTCAAAGTCCTCAGCTGTGGGGAAGGTACCCACACCCCCAGGGTGTGGGTACATATCACCCTGTACTCACGGTATATCCTCAGTCTTCTCGGTTGAATAAGGTGGTGGAATAGGAATACTGTGGGGTACAAGTTGAAGCCAAAGCTGGTTTTGTGTAGTCCAGAGTTGGGCTTTAAGTCTTTAAAATCATATAAATGAAATAAATGACTTAAAACAGATATGTCATGTCCACTGTAGAAAAATAATTACAGTTTATTGAATTTAAGTCATAATTCCACCTTTCTGACAATGTCTGTGTTGCAAGATAGGAGAGGAAAAAAATGAACTTTGTAAACAGTTTTTATTATATATATATATATTGTTATATATATTATATATATTG